AGAAAAGGGGAAGGATCACCCTTCCGTGGATGTTGGCAGTGGTTGATCTTAGTTCTAATCGCGTTGCCCAGCTGCCTTATGAAAGCAGCAGTTCCCTTTGTACTGGGGAAAGGGAAGGGCTGGGGGAGGCCTTGGGAACCAGAGGAGCATCCTTTCTGCCGCCCACCCATAGCCTACCTGGGAAACAAATGCTGCATTCCCATCCATCCGCCCATCGTGTCTAGGTAAAAAGGGCATTGGAATTTGCAGCCTCCAGCCTGCTTTCTTAATCAAACTGTCATCATGAGTAATAATTATCCCTTGGGAAACAGCAGAGTGACTCAAAAAGTGGTCCCCTCCCCCACTGCCACCCCCTCGCACAGCTCAGAGCTTTGTTCAGGGTGCCGAGAACCCCAGAAAGTGAAGCCACCAGCTCAGCTCGGGAAGCCTGTCTGCTTAAGTGACCATGCGGACTCCAGTGTCTGATGGGCAGTCACAAAAAGTCTCTTGGGCTCAAGAGCTCATTAGGGCTGGCTGTTCATCAGATGCAGGGTAGGGGGGGTGGGGTGCGGGGCAAGAAGCAAATACTGCTGGAGAAGTGATGCTTGTCAGGGAGACAGCACGCAGGAGGAGGAGCCCCGAGTGCCGCCCTCTGAGGATGGCCTTTTTCCTCAGGGGCTTCCCACCCACTCAGATTAATCCTAAGTGTAAAAATATAACGATAAGGAGAGCCACACTTACTCAACACCAACCATGTGCCTGTTGAAGGACCGAATTTTTGCATTCAGTTGAGGTTATTAGGAAGCTGGTGCATAAGGCCATCTGGGATGGTAAAATATGAAACAGGCCATGCGGGTTGGTACACGCCTGCTCCCCCGGCCCCCTCAATCACCCTCGTCTTCCGGATGAGGATGAGCAGGCCAAGGGACTTGCCAAACGTCAAGTTAGGGAGTCCGGGAGCTGGAGTTGGAACCCTGGCTGACTGACTCCAAGCTTTTGCACTTGACCACCAGACTACCAGCCCTGTGTGCGTGACAGGCCACTGCCCCCATCCCTGCTCCTCCCCCTTTACCCTAGAACCCACACAGAGTCTAAGAGAAAGCCCCAATCACCGAGCCAGCAAGAACTTCTCTTAATTATCATACTTGCAGAGCCCCGAGCATGCCAACTGTTGGGTATCTCCAGCCACCCGTGTGTGACCACCTCAGAGCCCCATCCATCTGGGAGGCCAGGGCCACGCGGTCCAGAGCCCATGACTCCCGGGCAGGGGGAAATGTAGGGGCTGGTAGAGATCTACCACTCGAGGTCTACCCTAGGGTACGCTCCCTCCCTTCCCTTCCTCACCATCAGTGTGCTTGCCTTAGCAGTATTCAGGACACATGGAGCCATTGCCAAAACCACAGAGGGCCACTTGCTAGGAGACATCCTCTTCCCAGGCTTTTCTGACCCATGAGAAATGGGTGTAAGCTGCGGTAGGAAGGTTTTGTCGGACACGGGTAGGGGTCTGTGTCCATGGGGGATACGGATGCAGGGCCAGCTGTGCACCAGCACTCAGTCCCTGAAGATCCTCTGTAAGTTGGACACTGCTGAGTCTAGGATAAATTAGATCCCTCCTGGCTAGAGTTACGGGATGAATAATGTCTTCTGAAAGACCTGCTTGGCCCCAGAACTGCGCCCACATCAACAGTCACTAGCTATGAAATGCTATTTCCTTTGAGACAATAATAGGTTTCCCCCCACCCCTGCCAGGGTTCTAGAGTCAAAGCCACGGAATGCGAGAAGACCCAGTGATACAGAAGTCTTTTTCTGCAGGACCTTGCTGTGCAAAGACGCGTGACAAATCTCCAAGAGCCAGCTCATCTGAACATTTCACCAGTGGAACCCCCATAACTATCTCATGGCATAGAGTTTCTCGGAACACTGTTTGGCGGGTGCTGTTCTAAGAGTGGGGACAAAACACTCACCACTGGGGTAGGGGGATGGGGAGTTTCAGCCATTGGAAAGGGACCATTTTTAATTCCACGGTCCCCACAAGGGGAACACAATTTCCATTTCCTCTTTCTCTTAACAAATTCTTAACTCCCTCGGGTTCCCTTTTAGGAGGCCCCTAAATTGCTCTCACAGATTCTCCCATTAAAGTCAAAACATGGTTCACACGGCACCCCTACTTCATCTACTGCTGCAATGAATGAGTCTATTTTTCTAGGAAGGTACTCATAAAAATGGGAATGATGGCAGTCAAATTTTATAGTGCATATGTTTGTGCCAGACACTGTTCTAGCTGTTTTATGTGGGTTCTCTTGTAATTCATTCACATTTTCCTTCCGTTAATTCTGCCCTGAGCCACCACCACCCCCTGCAACCCTGCACTACCCTCCTCCAAGAGGAGAGCTGGGGATCTCCTCCCCTGGAAACAGGTCACATGCAAAGGGAAGGGTAGAACTGAAAAAACAATTCAGGCTCTCCCTCTCTGCTTAGGAGCTAACCCACCCTCTCACTAGAAGCAGGACCCCTACCACATTATTTCCCTGGGGACCTCTGAGTACTCGATAAATATAAACAGAAATCAATGAGCCCCAAGCACTTTGTGGATGCTCCTTTGGTCACCCCTGTGCAGGGGTTACAAAAATTAATATTGCCACTTTTTCTTGACCGCTCACTAGGCAATCTACATACATTATCACAGATCCTCCCAACAACCTGTTATTCCTGAATTCTTTCAGAAAAGAGATTCCAGGGCTCCGAGGAGCTAAGTGGTTTACATGGAGCTTCACAGTGGGCAATTGGCCAAGCGGGGATTTGAATCCAGGTCCAACAGGCTCCAAAGCCCAATCTCTTTCTGAGGCATCACAGTCCTTCAGCTGTGTAGATAAACATGCAGACCAATAATTTTTTTTTTTTTTATAAAGAAATAACACGGTCAGTCAGTGAAGGAGTCCCAAACTGGAATCCAGGAGGATTGGTTACAAGATAAATATGCCCTGAAGACTGTTCTCCTGGTACCTGGGCACTGCCCATCCTTCACTTCCCAGCACGGGAGCATCTTCACCTTCCTTGCGTGATAAAATGTTGCGAGATAAAATACCGGATATCCGGTTAAATTTGAACTTCACATAAACAATACCTAATGTCTTAGTATAAGTATGTCCCAAATATTGCACGGGCTATACTTACACCTGAAAAATATTCATGGCTTATCTGAAATTCAAATCTGAGTGTCCTGTGTTTTTATTCGCTAAATCTGGCAACCCCACCCTAGAGTCAGAGGCATGCTGGGAAGTCTCCTGCCTGGCTCTAGGTCCCAAGTGTTGCTCCAATGGGAGTTGCCATGGCAGCCTGAGCAGGCCCTTCTGGAGCTGTCTCTACTTACCTACCCCCACCCCCACCCCAGCTTCACCTCGCCCCTGCACTCTCCATGCTCCAAACATGCTGAGCTACTTTCAGTTTCCTGAATGTGTCACGCTGCTTCTGGCCTCAGGTCTTAGCGCTTTGCTGTGTTCTGTGCCTGCCTTCTTCCCTCTCTCCCACTCTCTGGCCACTTCCTATTGATCCTTAGGGTCTCCACTTGGAGTTGCTTCCGCCAGGAAGTCTTCCCTGACACCCTGATCCCTGCCCCTTCCCATACTGCAGCACGCAGCATCTGCTGTCCACCGCGCTGCTTGCTCCAGAGAGCGGGGGTGGGTCACAAGCATCCTTGCGTCCCCACACCTGGCACCGACATGTAGCCTCAGGTAGTAAGTCAGCAGATGCTTATTAAATGAATGAACGGATGGATGGAGACTGTCCAGGCAGAGCTCGTCTCTTGAATGTGACTGCTTCCTTCCTCCCTTCTATCCTTACTCACTTTTTCATCTCTTGCCTCCTTTCCCTCCCTCAGAGTTGTGAAAGGCTGAGGCTTAGGTCCACAAGGGCACGTCCTGGCCTGGACTCAGGTGAGGAGAGAGCAGTCAAGGCTCAGAGAGGTCTCCTCGTGCCCCTTACCTGGTCATGCCATACCCACTGTCCCTGGGGGCTCACGTCTAGCTACAGGTCAGCGGAAACTTCTCGGCTTCTAAATCCTCCTGGCACATGCCCCCTCTGTGTGCAAACTCTGCTCCCCTTCTCCCCTTGGCCCCTTTAAGGGAACCTAATTGGATTGAGCCCCAAGTTTGGGGTGTGGGGAGACGACAGTGTCAGATGGCTGAGGGTTAGGGCAGGTGGTGGGGCTCGGTGGGCTCAGAACATCACCCATATGTTCCCTGTTCACCCACCCAAGGCTTTGCCCACGCACAGCCTGACAGCCAGAGAAGGCAGCACAGAACTTAACCCTTTTGTGGAATTTAGAAGGTAGTTTCACAAAGGACCAGTGAGCAGCAATCAGTGTTAACTTTAACCCCCAAACACACACGCGCGCACACACACACACACACGCGCACACACACACACACACACACACACCCTAGAGTTCTGCCTCTATGCCGCTTAAGGAACCCGGCTTGCTTCCAGTCAGGGCTTGATTTAGAAGATGCCCTCTGGGGGGCAGGAAGTCCATGCCAGAGCAATGGGGTGTGCTGGGAATACGACCAGGGTGGGGGTGCTGAAGGGCATGGGGAGAGGGGAGAGTGGGGAGGGCAGGGAGCAGCTCAGAGGCAGCTCCTGAAGCTGGATTCTGAAAGCCCTGCTCTGTTGCTCTCTGATCTGACCTTTAGAGGCAGGTGGCGATTTTGTGCCTTCTCATCATCCCCCCAACCTCCCCTCCCAGAATACGTTAAGAGGACAAAGCGGGAGAAACACCCTTCAGTGTCAAAGTAACTCCAAAAATAGAATCGCTCTGCCCCGGGGGGAAGGCTAGCAAGCTGGGCGTGCAGTGCACCCGCGGCTCTGGCCACTGAGTCCCTTCTGCAAGCGCTCCCGCTTCCGTCCAGGTGTCCAGGTACGCATAGTCTCGGAAACACCCCCCCCCCCCCTTCCAAGCCCTACCACCCCGGCCAGCCTCCAACTTGTGGCTGGGCGCTCGGCCCGGGTCGCGGGAGGGGACTCACACCGAGAGAAGCACCGACTCCGACGGCTCCTTGGCTGGGCCAGGTGAGGCGCCCGCTGCGCAGCGGCAGGTACAGGTGGGTCTGGGGGCTGCGGCAGGTAGGGGGTTCGCGGCCGCTCCGGAGGCCTCTGCTGAATAACAGGGCTGACAGGTTTGTGTTTTCCCCCTCTCCTCCTCCCAGTTAACCACACCCCTGCTGCTCTCCTCCTCACTTCCTTAAAGGGTGGGGTGTGTTGTCGGTGGTGCTGAGTGTGTGCCTGCTCCAGCCTCTTACCATAAACCCTGAAATAGACGCTGCCACCAATTCCCTGAGCTGCACGTGCCCACCTGGGGACCCATCTCCGGAGCCCCAAAGGGGTCTTCGGCCGTGGCCGTGGGCGTGCCCTGTGAGCGGCTGACCCCTCCTAATTCCTCCCACCCCTCCCCTCCTCCTCCCACTCCGCTTGCAGACTTTTGGAGGCCACACTTAAGAGGCTGGTGTTTCCTCTCTAGCCTCCAAGGAGGGTTCAGAGTGGAGATGGTTACCTGGCTCCCATAATCTCAGCATCTGGGCCCCTCCAGGTCTCTCCCTGTCCTAAAGTGGCCCCAACCCCTTGAGGGGGCATGGAGATCAGGTGAATATCACCAAGGGCTTTGGCAGAACCGATCCAGGTGCTTGTGCTGTGATAGGGCAGGACCAGAGGGCAGCGCAAGAATTGTCACAGAAGCTGGGCAGCCTTTACCCAGCCCTATCTCCATATCAGCTGACTTCGCTGCCCAAACAAAGAGGCTGGTTCACCTCTTTACTCAGGCAAGCAGGGCAGTGAAATGCAAGACAGTGACTCAAGGGCACTTAGAAAACCCTTTTTCCCCTGTTGCTAGAAAAATTCCAGACTTTCCCCCTGAGTAGGAGGAGGTGAACAGGACTTAGCATAAGGTCAGAAAGCTGGTATGTCCTCAATGTCTCCCACATCCTCAAAGTTCCTCTCCAGAGCCCCTGCCCCAAACTTCTTCATTCTGGGTCCTGTGAAGGATTGGGATCTCCCACAGTTCTAGAACATGCTATTCACAGGGTCGTCTCTGAGGATGGCGCCCCCTTGAGTTGTGCTGCCATAGGTGACAGCCCAGCATACATGATGGCCCCCCCAATACAACCTCACCCACTAACTCCAAACTCAGCCACCCCAGGAGAACAATAGGAAAATCCAGCATTTGGTGAGCATGTCTAAATGCCATCCAGTGTTGCTAAGAAAGCATTCCTTTGACACGATTTCGTTTAATTTCTCCCATTTTCTGAAAAGAAAACCAAGACTTAAGATTCCTTAATTTGTCCAAGGCCACAAAGCTAGAAAGTCAATGTTTCTCAAAGTGTGACCAGAGGACGGATGACTTGTATCTTTTAAAATGCAGATACCTGGATGGCACTTCGGGTTTACTGACAATCAGAATCTCTGAGCCTGGGGCCCACCTGCCCAACCAAGGCAACTGACAACCCGTTGGATGGGAGCTCATAGCCACAGCTGCAGGAGCTCCCCCTGGTTCATCCCATTCACCCATTCATGCTGTCCCCAGCACCAGGTAATGCTGGCAACCCGCAAAGCAGTCAGAAGGTGTCAGGGGAGACCTTGGCTAGGGCTCGGGGTGATCAGGCAAGTGGGACAGGTCAACTGGAGTTAGCAGGCAAAGTGTGGGGAAGACTAACGGACCAACTGACCGCACCACAAGCAGATTGTCAGAGGGCTTCGGAAAATGGGGGCTCCGTGTTCTTGTGCATGGGAATGAGGAGATGAATGTTGAGCAGTTGAAAGTTAGATACTTGCATTAGCTGTTGAGGGTCTGTGTTGGGCTGCAGGCAGTGGGAACTAAGGAGGAAAACTAATCCAAACAGGTTTAAGGAAAGGTGAGTTTGTGCTGCTGCCCTGTGGCCAAATCCTTAAACTACAATCTAATCGGGCCTTCATTCGAGAAAAGTTTTCAGATTTTCAAAATTTTCAGAGGATGTTGAATTCTTCACAGATATTTCTTTAAAGCTCTGAAACCTAGTTCCTAGCATCGTAGGATAATCGGTTTTATTTATGAAAGAGACCTTGGGAAACTCCCTGGGATGGATACTGTGCCTGCAGGTCTCCCTATGTCCTGTCCAGTATCAGTCATGACAAGTTAAGGTGACAGGGTCACACATGTCAGCCTGTTACCTGCCTTTTAAAAAAACCTATCAGAAATGTTTCCAGGAGCCTAGAATTCTATGTAAATGGTCTTTTAAAATTCTACCGACATCTCATTGTGTGTTCTAAATTTTAAGATGGTAGCCAACGGAGCAGGTTTAGATGCACATGGGAAGGAGACGGTCAAGAGGGAAGAATGTGACCTTGGCCAGGCGAATCCATTTCTCTGAGTTTGTATTTCCTAATCTAGGAGAGTAGAGGAATAAGAAATACCTCCCCAACCTATTTCACAGGGTACTGTGATGCCCCAATTAACTGATAAGTATGAAAATATGCATACTATGGTGATTATTATGTTATTGTGCTATAACATGCTATGATTTTATTTTTAGAAATCATGGGAATTAGGGGCACCTGGCTGGTTCAGTTGGTAGAACATGCGACTCTTGATCTCAGGATTGTGAGTTCAAGCCCCACGTTGGTTGTGGAGCCTACTTAGAAAGAAAGAAAGAAAAGGAAGGAAGGAAGGAAGGAAGGAAGGAAGGAAGGAAGGAAGGAAGGAAGGAAAGAAAGAAAGAAAGAAAGAAAGAAAGGAAAAGAAAAAGAAAAAGAAAGAAAATAGGAATTAAATAGGGTAGGTTTAGTGGGGAGTGATTACATAGGTATCTGTTATACAGATACAATCAAGTGTTCACTGTGACTGGAACTTTCATCCATCACCTAATGGGCCTTCACAACAATTCACTGAGGTAAATAACAGTATTCCTCTTTTGTAGAAAGGAGGCTTGGAAAAGGTAAATAATTTGTCCACAGCCACCCAGAGCAGGGCTGAATATAAACCCATTATTGGCATGTAATGATACGTCATCGGAGTCTCTCTATTATGGATAATGGAATGAAATCACATAATGTAAATTTGTTATTAGAATACATTTCATTTTTGGGCGCCTGCGTGGCTCAGTTGGTTAAGCGTCTGACTCTTGATCTCAGCCCAGGTCATGATCTCAGGGTTGTGAGTTCAAGCCCCACATTGGGCTCCGTGCTGGGCATGGAGCCTACTTAAAAAAAAAAAAAAAATCAGAATACATTTCATTTTAAAAGAATAGTATGGTTATAAGTGTTCTGAGCAAAAAAAAAAATGAACAAAGAAAAAAGTCATGGGCACAAGGATTAAATAACTGAAATCCTTCATCACCAAAGAACACCTACCTCTAATTAAACCAGGCACTACTGGGTTTGCTAAATGAACCACAGTTGGGCCCAACTCCCCCCAAAAACGACAAAAAACTCCCCAAACCTCAAAACCATGCCCTTGACTTCAAAAGGACTCTATTCCATTTATGAAGGCACAGCTGGCTGTCCTCCTTTCTTCCCTTATAATAGAATCCCTGATTTTTAGTTGGTCCTAGGCTGCCCCAAATAAAGACTGCATGTCCCAGTCTCCTTTGCAGGTATGGCCAGTGATTAAGTTCTGGGCAATGGTTGGTGAGTGCTAGTTATGTGTGCAGCTTCAGGATCATGCCGTCAAGGGAAGGGGCAAGCCTCCACCATTTCCTTTTCTACCTGCACCGAATGATGGAACCCAGAGCCACCATCCTGGTCTGTGGTGTTGAGAAATGAAGTCTGGGTCCCTAGTGCCATCAAGCCACAATGCTAGCCCTAGACATGGTCTGGGCCAACTTGAACTTTTATATGAGAAATTTAAATTTTTCACGTCGCTGCATTTGGGGCTTTTCTGTCACCATAGCTTCAAATGTACTTCTAATATACAATCACTCAGCCTATTTTCTTTTGTCTCTAAATTAAGGCAGAACCTAAATTTCCTCATCTATAAAATGGGAATAACTTACTACAGGGTTGTCAGAAGGACTAGAAATAACACATGTAAATTTCCCTGCTAGTGCCATGGCTCATAGCTGGCAATAAATGGAAGGTATTATATCCTGTTGCAACTTTTAAAAATGTGTTCCTGAAATAAAAATAATGGTTACTTTAAAATACTCCATCACTGGGGCGAATGGATGGCTCAGTCGGTTGAGCGTCTGACTCGATTTCAGCTCAGGTCATGATCTCAGGATCGTGATATCGAGCCCTGTGTTGGGCTCCACGCTGGGTGTGGAGCCTACTATAAAAAAGAGGGGGGAGGATTTACCTAAAATACTCCACCATACCCATTCCCCCAAATGTGGAGGGGAGAAGTGAGACAAAAATAGCAAATTTGATTACTGATGTAAGCTGAATGATGGGTAGGTGGGGGTTAATTATACTGTTCTCTCTCACATTGTGTTTGAAAATGTTCACAGTGAAAAAGTTAAAATAAATGAAATCTTTCCACGGAGGAAAAAAAAAAAATGGATTCCTGGACGTAATCCAAAGTGAATCTCTTTGGGAAAAATAAAACCATATTAAATCCATTAAGAAATTAATTTGGGGACCCAAGAGGGAGGGCAGCTGGAGAAGTCAGAAGAATGTTTTTATTTTCCTTTTAAAGACAACAGGCAGAGTCTCAGTGCCACAGAGGGAGGGCAATTTCCACAGCTCCGGGCACCGCTGTCTGGCCTTGCGCAGCTCCCCAGGATGGCTGCAGGGCAGTGGGCTGCAGGGCGCTCGTGCAGGGTGCCCGTGTGGAAATGGAGCCTGCCTGCTGCCCTGCCCAGTTCAGTCCAGCTCCATGACTTCTGTGACTTTGGCTTTCTTGGCTCTCAATCCTTCACTCCCACCTGTGAGGGAGCTCGCCGGGTCCCCACAGCCTATGGATAAGCTCTGAAGCAATGGCATGGCCATATGAACCTTGTCTTGCATTACTGACATCTGCAATTCTAACAAATGCGGCTGGCTCTCTGTGCCTGGTCCACACTAGGAAGCATCAAGCGGCATTGAGAGCAGGCTGCTACAGGCAGATTGGCTGTTAGCAGCAAGAAGCGCCTTTAAAAAAGAAAGAAAAAACGAAGTGCCTAGCAAATGCAAGAACGCTTAAAACACAGGCA